ATGATTTCATCGTCACAGCGATGATTTCATTGGCCGGTGAGAAATGTCGTTGTGCGGTTCAATGCAAGATTGGCAGTTTTGTGTGTAGCGAAGTTTGCATGATTTTGATGTCGTGATGTTTTAATAAAATAAACGTGATTAAAGAGGAGAGTACTGCATGACAAGTGTTTTGTAATGTAGGTAAGATGTTAATAAAGCGACGGCTTTAGGTATTTCTTTGATTTTCTATGTAACACGACCGTAAATAGTGAAAAGGTTGTCGTGCAAAATGCACGACAAAATTCACAGGTTTTGTCTATGGAAGGGTATTGGGCCCTAAAACAGTGTAAAATAACATCAGAAAATAAAATTTTTTAGGGCACAATTTATTGGTCTACCTATAGCCCTGTACTTGCCGCCATTTACATAAACTGCGCAATGGGAGCAAATGCGAGAATTTCATCACGCTTTGTGTGATTTCGCGTGACACAGCTTGGTTACGAACACAGACAGTATGTTTTTATAACAAGTGAACACTGTCCTTCAAATAGAAACAAAGATTAGATGGAGTAGAATGGTTGAATATTTGTGTTGTATTCGTGTGAAATCAAGCAAGCGTCGAGCGAATTTTGGCAGCACGCTTTCTACCTGCTATATATTTATGTGTCAGTGTGCAGCGGCAGCCAGCGTTTGTTACAGATGAGCATTTGGACGGAATTTGCGGGAAATTGTCGGCAATAATAGGTGAAAGAGAGTATAGAAACATTAGGACTTTGGTAGTAAATAGATTTCGTAATTATTTAGCATTATAATATTTTATTGAAACGCTCCAGTCCAAGTGCCTGTGGCTGTGCCTGTGGGCACAGGCCCTTGGAGGCTCAAGTTTCAAGAAGAGTATAAGACTATATTAAGTCATTAAAATAACGAATTTTGGCAGCACGCTTTCCTACCTGCTATATATTTATGTGTCAGTGTGCAGCGACAGCCAGCGTTTGTTACAGATGAGCATTTGCAGGAAATTGTCGGCAATAATAGGTGAAAGAGAGTATAGAAACATTAAGACTTTGGTAGTAAATAGATTTCGTATTTATTTAGCATTATATTTTATTGAAACGCTTCAAGTGCCTGTGGCGTTGCAGGTGAACGAACTGATGCGGGACACAGGCACTTGGAGCGTTTCAATAAAATATAATGCTAAATAAATACGAAATCTATTTACTACCAAAGTCTTAATGTTTCTCTACTCTCTTTCAAGAGAGAGAGAGAGATAGATAGAGCAAAAGAGAGTATACGAGCAAAAAAGAGCGGAGTAAGAGAACGATAAAGAATGTGACGTATGATATCACGTTTTCCTCGCATCGATGGTTTATAATCAGGTTGAAAGCGCCAGTCGCCTTCTAGATACACACGATTATTTTCCATGATCACATATTCCCACGATTAAACGTATACCTTTGACGGGTGTTTGGAGAATATGAAACAGAAGAAGACCATGACGACGATACCAACTCCAGATATTAGATTGCGCGGGGTGTCTTGGAGTCGTAGTGCCACAAACAGAATAAGCAGGATAACGACAACGATGCTAACGTACAATACCCTGAATGAAAAGGAGAATTATAGGTAATTTAGTAACAAAGTATCAGTAGATAATCGCTAAATCATTATATATTTTGCTCACAGATAGATATAATCACTCGAGTTATGCGAGGTCCTTAAGCGGCAGCACGTGAATCTGATGATTATTGTAGGAATTCGTGCTCACCATTGTAACCAGCGCCAATTCGCGTCCACTGTCTGCATCAGTACCGTAGCGCTGGGTCTGCAGAATGAGAAGTGCCTGCCGCATTGATTCTTGACGACTACGTAGAGTAGTAGAGCGGTCACGATCGCTGTAACTGCGATGAGATCAAGCACGGGCTGGATGCATCCAACTCGCACGATATTATACCAGACGGCGTAGCAGAAGTAGCTGAGATATGCACATACGAGAAGAACGTATATAACGTTCCACAGTGCGGTCTTGTTGCTTCCGTATAGGTCAGATACGAATGTGCAGACGGTTTCCGCGTGGACGGCCCATGCCGCCGGGTCGCCATTGAGAGAGTCCGTCTCGTGATCGTATTCAGAGTTCTCAATTCGCACGGGAGAATTAAATTCCTGTGACCTCTCTTTTCTCTGCGATTGAAATAGGGTAAGATCATGTCCCACTTGAAAATGTTTTTGTTTTGCCAATCTCGGCCCCGGTTTTTTCAAACTTTTATATTTATATTTCTGGTAAGATGGTAGAAGGCGCTTAGGTCGAAGCGACGATGTACCGGTACTTGGCTTCTTTTAAGTAAATTAAATAGGTAAAGGTAATTAATTTTGGCGTGAAGTATCATGCAAAATTAATAACATTTTAGGTCTAATGATAGTACTACCTGTGGAATTTCCGATAACAGGCCCCTGCATTATAGATGCTTCGTATGCGGAGCAACATTCATATCAACATTATTCAGGAAAACCTCCTGGTCTGAGTTCATAATTTCGACTCGATGACATCGTGGCATGTATGCAAAGCATGCGCGAGTAGAGAATTTATAGGTAAACCCTCTTCTATGTACGTGCTTAGCGTCAGGGAGACACATGATGATTTACTTCTCACTGAATTATAGTATTGCCCACATCACAGCTTAGCTACGAGCACATTGCACAACATGCAGGGAAATGTATTGCCTTCATGACACGCTTTGTACATTTGTAGGCACGCTGGGAGAAAAGCTAGAAGTGTACGTGACTGTAAAACTAAACGTCTATATACATCGCCAACGGTTTTCATTATATGACTACTTCTTGGACCCTTATTGTAGCACTCGCGCTTGCGTGCAATTTGATATCCGGTGATTCATCGTATATATGACATCGAACAGTTTGTATAGCTTATAGACGAATCAGTACGAAAAACGTGTCTACTGCCAACCCGGTAGTGTTGCTTCCTGTGTGACGGTTTTCCTTGTAATGCGGATGCTGCTATTCGAATTTCCTGCGTGCCAATACCTATCGGGTTACGTAGGCTCTCTTAAGGCCGCCGCACACCTACATCGCTTCATCGCTTCATCGCTTCATCGTTTGTAAAATCGGCTCATAGGCTCATCGGCTCATCGGTTCAAAATCAAACATGTTTGATTTGGAACGATCACCCGATAAAAATAAAATCGTCTACAAATGAACGCGCACACCTACCCGATAAGGGCTGATTTCTATCGGGCCGATCAAATCGCGTGAAAAATCGGCTGGTGTGCGGCGGCCTTAACGGGCGAGAGCAAGACAGGATTAAAGCCTCTAGTCTAGACACATAGCCTGGTTTTTTTAAACCGGGTCAACTGCTAATTAGGTTTTGAGCAACCGTGTACAGAAAGCAGGAAAAGTACAAATATGCTTATGAAGAACGATTTCACCGATCTTATATTATCTCACGCACATTTTCGTTGTTCTTATCCATGTTACTTCCACGATACTCGATGACCTGAACGAGCTCCTGTGCCTCTGGCCCCGTGTCATGCAAACCTTCATCCGCGACTGCTGCTTCCTTCACGTGCACACGCTTTCCCGACATGCGTTCCGAGAATCTAATCTAAACAGGCAATTAGACGCACTTGGCTTTCTTTTCATGAGAATAATCGGTCAGTTAAATCTGTGTACCAACCATCACGATTCAGCTTGATCAAACATAATGAATGATAAATATATTGTTAAATATATTACAATAATATTAAAACAATGATACATTTTGAGTTGAATAAATAGAACGATATATTCTTATTAATATTTCTCTGTGAAATAAGGTCAGACAGTATGACCATATAGTAGCGAGCCAAATATCCTACCGCAAAACTAGAGGGGCTCAATTTTCCCGAATTTAAATGTTGGAAATGGTACCTTTAACGTTTTAGCAAGAATTAATTGCTTGATCTGTGACTATTGATATATTGTAAAATATCCTATGTACAGATAAATCAACCTTTCACTCTGTTTCATATAAGTATCAATTTTATCCAGTCAATCAAATTCAGAATCAATAATTCAAATAAACAATTTAATCAACAACCGATAGTCGTCGCGTGATATGCCATGCGTCGAGAATTGCCGATGGCGTCGGCCATATATCGTCGGGCGCGATCGCGGTCCATATACTGTTGCGTAATCAAACGATTCCTACCTGCCATCTTGTTGTTTTCTTCCAAAAATTACAACTTGACCCTTCTCCGCATTACTTACAAACACAGTAAAATCCAAACTAGCACGGTGTCGTTTGCGGCGATATCCAGTTAAGTGACTGTACCCACAGTGCTACACAAGGCGCATAGAAATACATCTGTTTCAATGGGTTCACCAATAGGTGGCGTCCATAGGCAGCGGGCCTTTATGAAGTGCACACGCAACATGGATTTTATTCATCCTAAATATTTAAATATCCCAACCACAGATTCAATGTATAAACTTCACAACCACAAATTAAATGTATAAACTTCACACGAAACGTTTGTCAGTGATAGCATGCGCATTTTGCACAAATCCGAAAATTATCATTTGACAACATTTTATGAACTTTCATCATGCAGCAGAATTGCATCATTTTCCCGCAAAAACACTCTAACTATTTATGCTTTGATTCAAAACCCCCTATTAGGCTTCTATCTTGCATGTGCAATAGAAAATGATCTAAGGCAACGTAATAAAACAGAAAATACAGGAAACTGCTTTACCATGCCGAGAAATAGAGCAGTGCTAAGCAATTCGCCAAAGGCTATCTGCGTGCTTCTATTAGGTGTTTTGTAACAGTAAAGGGCGTTCATAGGCAGCAGACCTGAATACGAATGACACAAAAAGTAATAAAAAATACTCAGAGAGGCTCGGCGCATACAAAATATACACACTTTATTCATGCTAAATGGGTTAGATGAGGGAGAGAGCAGAGAGATTGGGATGAAACGATAGCCTAACGGCAAGTGTTGTAAAAAGTTGGCGAGAGTGGAAAGATAAAAGTTGAGAGTTGAAAGTCAAGTAGAAAGTGGAGGGTTGTCGTATATGTAGAAGTGTGGTGCATGCACAGAATATCAATCGGTATTCGTGCATAAGCAGCGAAAGTATGGGCGTGCCAGTGCATATTGACTAAGGTACGTCCATACATAGTCATTACAGAGAGAGAGAGAGAGAGAGAGAGAGAGAGAGAGAGAGAGAGAGAGAGAGAGAGAGAGAGAGAGAGAGAGAGAGAAAGATTCGCGAACAAGGAAGTGAGAGGGCAAACGGCTTAGGTACACCTGTTCATATAAGGCAGAAAGTGATAGGGAGCGAAAGAGTGACGAGAAGATAAATATATAAAGTGAGGGCGAACCAGAGAATTAGTAGGGGAGACCGGGGACAATTGTAACACGGGGCAAATGTAAAAGAGGCCCTCATTCCTAGTAGAAACGCGCTATATGTATACGCTCTTTACAGCGCATGCATATT